TTTGTCTTTATCCCCAGGGACCCTAAACTTTGTGGACATGCTGCTGTTATGTCCATATAAACAGCTTCCATGTGCATGTGAGGCCCCCTTTCTTCTACGAGCCAGAGAGACCCAACTTAAGTTGTAGCATTCAGCTCCAACCAGGATCTTCAGCAGCTTGGAAAGAAGACAGTGCGAAGTTCAGAGTACGTACTTCAGAGCTGAGTTAAGCAGACTGACAAACGCCTTGTGGGGTCATAATGAGCTCTTCTTTCTGTGGCTTCACAGCTTATGTGGTGGAGTCAGAAGAGTGTACTTGCATGGTTAGACAGACTGGAATTTGACCCTCGCTCTGCAGCTCTTGGCCAGGTATCCTTTGGCAACCTACTGGACCTCTCTCCCTGAGCCTTCCTTTCTATATCTCCACAAAGAGCCTCCTAAAACCTGCGTAATGGGGCTGTGGTGAGGCTCAGAGAAACATGGAAAGCTATCAGCACTCTCTCTAACCTAGAGGAGGTGCTAACACCTGCTGGCCCTTTTCTAGCCCAGGTCAGAAGCAAGCTAACATTTATATTTACATAGAATAGAAAGTGGGTATCTGAACCTGGCTAGGACTTTCCTGTTCTTTGGGAGAACTTGTCTGCAAATGGGCCCTGCAGGTTGTAACAGACACAAATCATGTAAGCATTACAGCCATACCTGACTCCACACCTGAACAGAGACATCCATCCATGGGCTAAGCATTTCAGGAGGTGGAAGAGATGAAAGACACAAAGGAGCAGTCTCTAGGAAGAAGGTTTGGACTTGACCCTGGGAGAAAACTTATCCATGCCCTGATGATGCTCAACTCCCCTCTCTTCCAGGCTCACACCTAAGCCTATTGTTTTCCTTTACACATGTGTCTGCCTTTCCTGACTCTGGCCAAGCCTGCAACTGGAAATGCCAAGAGGATCTGCTTTGGTTGAACCCAGGCTCAGGGCACATCATAAATCCCATATGATGGTCTTGCTTTTGTGACTCATGCAGCCAAAGTTTGCAGAGTCCTGGGGCTCAAAGTCTCAGAGAAGCCATGATTGAAGTAGGGGTGGAGGTGGGTCTGAAGACTGTCCCCACCAGACCCAATTATAACCAGGATAATTTCCTTGCACCTCATCCTGCAGGGTAGCCAGGTTGAACTTCCTGGCAGAAGCAGCGGCTGAGTTCCCTCAAAGGCAGCTGGCTATCTGAAAGTGACACTGACATGATTTCACTCTCTTTTCTAGCTAGGATTGGTATGACATGTGACAGTAAGGTCCCCATTAGGAATCTAGTCCTCTGATTTCAAGAAAAAAGCCAACTTTCTACTCAAAGAGAATTGCAGATGTTTAAAAAAATATATTCAGTGAGGGACTTGGGTTTGCCTGCTGGCTGCACCTAATACTTCAAAATGAGACCAATTAAAGGTTTGCACTGGACTATTTATCATGTCAGATTGTGTAGTTCCTTCCCAGAGCTTCTTTGCTGGGGCTAATAAATGCTCCCTACGACAGCAAGTCTCTTGTCAGAGATGGCTAAGTCCCTATGCCCTTAGATCTTGTCATCAACATAGTTGCCATGAGCAGCCCATCCGGTGAGGAATTTCGTTTTATCTCAGTATTTAGATATCCCATTAGGGCCTAGCATCTGGGACTACAGGATTTCCATCAAGGGCTCTTGTCCATCACATCGTCCCTGGAGCTGTGGATACGTCCTGAGGTTATTTTATAGTTAAGCCTCCCTGTTTCGTTTTATCTCAGTATTTAGATATCCCATTAGGGCCTAGCATCTGGGACTACAGGATTTGCATCAAGGGCTCTTGTCCATCACATCGTCCCTGGAGCTGTGGATACGTCCTGAGGTTATTTTATAGTTAAGCCTCCCTGCCCCCCCCCTTCAGAATTTGCCGCGTTTTGTGGTCACTATGCTCTGGGCTTCAGTCCACCTTGGATGTTCCCATCCCCAGATGCCGTGGATAAAAGCACACGGATGACTGATGGACTAGAGGCTTTCTTCCTATCCAGATATTTTGGCAACTCCTGGGAAAACAGTCTCTCAAAGAGGACACACGAGGAATCAAACACCAGGCAGCATCCAGAAAAGCCGCTGCAAAGTAGATTTAGAACAGAAAAACAAGGAAAGGAAACAGACTCTCCCAGGCCTGAAATATGCATTTTAAAACTTCAAGTATTTCTAAATAAGTTTGCATGAAGTTAGGGATCAAGTGATACTTATCTGTTTCTTATTTTTTGGTCACCAAGTTTACATTTCTGTGTGCTAAGGTTGTTGAACAAATTAATATTTGCATCCAGGATGCAGGCAGCGTATCAGTCAGACAGCTGCAAATGTTTGGAAAGACCTGGAGCTCCCTCTCTGATTAGCTCCTGCATTTTTGTGTTTTATTCCCCAAACAGATCCTCATTCTGACCCAGATCACTTGGTGATGAGGGTCAGTTCATGCTTAAGCTTTGAAGATTAGAGAGACCAGAAATGGCCACCCCTTCTCTTTCTATTTGCTTTTAAAAACCTTAAACTTTAAAAACTAAAAACTTCTAAGAATGCATAATATTCTGAGTCCACAAAAGGAATTTATGCACATTTCTGCCATGTTAAATGTTAGCAAAGTTTATATTGGACTGTCATATTTCTTTACTTTGCTCACCAGCATATAAGACGTCGATCTCAACATCTGGTTTTTAATAACCCTCGACATCTGGGAGCTCCTTTTTATTCCTATGGTGGACGAGGAACAGTAGTGATGTTGGCAGTGTATATTTTCAAGCTATAACTCCTGTCTGTTTCAATCATAATTAATTACCACTTTTTAATATATTTAATTTGCTAAAAGTGATTTGCATTAGACCACATTTCACCGTTAAGAAAACAGTGGTAGATTTTGGTGGCAGTGGCTTTTTTTTTTCTTTCTTCTTTTTTAAAAATTAAAATTCTAATATGAATGGATTTGGAACAAACTGAATGTATACATGCAGTTGGGTTTTAAATGCGAAATGAAATAAACTGCTCTGAAAGGAAAGTTATTTTACAGCCACTTAGGAAGCAGTCAGCAGGGGCTGCGGGCTGCATTTTAGAGAAAGCCTCCTACTTTTTTTGTGACTTCGGCAAATCACACCATCTTTCTGTGCATAGAGTTTTCCTACAGCAGCGATTTTGGGGCCTTATTATGAAAGATAGGGCCTCCATCCAGAGAAATATATTTATACACATACTAAACAACATTCTGCATTGAATTTCAAGAGGTTGCTAAACCCCTTGAAACCCATTTGTGGATGCCCTAGGGTCTCATGCTGTAGACTTTCCTTTTTTATTAACATGAAAAGGAACATCAACATTGCTTTTCTCCAGGGACTGAGAGGAAGTTCAATGAATGTAAAAATACATTTTTCCTAAGTCATGTAGGGGAAAGGAAAGTTTATTGCCAGGAGCAATTACTAGACTGTTTAGTAATAAATAAACACAGATAATTTTTACATAAGAAGAGCCAGCTAAAATGTTCAGTGTACCTTTTTTTGGGCCATAATATTTCTGTCTAATCTGTCAAGCGAAAATTCATATCAAGTTGTCCATTTCAGACTTTGAAAGTTGCTTGATTGACTTAGGTCACTTGGGGAATCTTAACCTTCGTAGGCCATGGATCCCTTCGGCATTCTGATGAACTCTCTGGATCTCTTCTCCGAATAATGTTTTTAAATGCATAAAATAAATACATAGAAACACAAATAAAACAAATTATATTAAAAGTCAGTTAAAAAACCACACATCTAAATCCTTGAGTAGATAAAAATTACTTTTGCCTGTTGGTAAGATTGGGTTGAACTGAATGAAATTGCTGTTTTTCTAAGTTGAAAATTGGCATTTTCATGATTCAACTTGATATTATCACAACTTAAGGAGTAAAGATCCAAATGGTGAGAAAATGTTCCAAGTTTTTTATTTTTGTTCCTGTTCCTAATTTTCAAAACAAAGAAGCAAATCATGGCAAAATCTGGTTTCACTGGGGATTTATTAAAAGACATGGCTCCCAAATTATGTGTGAGACCAGGATATGGGTCATTCAGTCTTAGACTCCTACACTTTATTTCTATCCTTGTGGTAAATAGTGAGAATTGTTCAAAACAGGGACTTTGCGATGGTGGATAAACTTCTGTCTTCAAAGATTCAATTTCCCTGCGTATTGGCCACTTCACTAAATGAGGAAAGGGGTCAGAGCCATTTTGGAAACATTTTCAACAAGAGTTCAGGCCAAATAAGTTTCAGTTTATCTAGTTGAACACAGTTTTAAGTGAAACACAACTTTATTTCTATAAGCATTCTACTGAATTGAAAGTTTACTCTCTTTTCTTTGAAACTTATTTGATTGCAAATGTATAATCATTCCATGCAAGTGTATAATCATTCTGTGGGGTGCACATCTTCTTTTATGCTGAGAGCAAAATAGAACCTGGCAAATAAGATCACAGCATATTTGAGCCTTTGTGAAATAACTGATATGAATTATCGCATGCTAAAAAAGTTTGTTTCACCAAGTAAATGGAGTTTTTTTTTAATTCTTCTTCAGCCTTTATTGATACTTTAAGCTTAAGAGAAATTAAGGGTATTTGATTACTATAATTACTTCTCTGCTTACTTAAAAGGTTTAATCTACTCCTTAGGTATATGCAATTCAGATGGCATGTTTTCCAAAAAAATAATCATCTGCTAATGTAGACTAATTTTCATCTTCTAATCCAATCTTGACACAGAGTCAGAGCTGGGTGGGTGGAATGTTTTTGTGCAGGGGTTGCCATAGATACAAAACTTGGTAATGTATTTGACAAGTCGGTTATGGGGACTTAAGTTACGATGGATTTTTTTCCCTCGCTCTTTAAGATTAAAAAAAAAAGTGAAGATGAGTGTGCCTTGCAGTGCATCTCGGTGTGACTAACCTTCTCTTCTTTCATTCTGGTACTCCTCCTCTCTGTGCACCTCCCACCTCGGGCCGGCCGCAGGATGACGAGGAGGGCATATGGGCATAGCCGGGCCTGTAAACCAAAGTTCCAGTTTTGTTTTGAGGGGTGAGAAACCATCTTTTATATCATTTTTCTAAAAAAAAATTGCATTCTAGTGTTGTATTGTGTGTGTGCTCAATTGTGCTCGCTGATGTTTGTGATCGTGCCCTGTGTTTGCTACCATGTTCTGCGAGCGCAGAATGTCCGCGTGCACTGACCCTCCCCAACAGCCTTCTCCATCCTCCCTCACCTCCCCACCCCTCAACCACATTCTTGCTCTGCCTTGTTGGGGCTGGGTTGAGCACGATTCAAATGTTTCTGTGTTACTTAAGATGTAAACTATGCCCTTACTAGGATTTATACACACTTTTTAAGGCATGATTGTGGACTCAGAAATTGTTGCAATTCTCCAGTCGTGGTTTTCAGCCGACTGCTTGCTTTTGCCAGATATGCCAGTGTGGTGTGACTCTCACGTCCTTCTGGTTGTGTCAAATGTTTGGCAAGGAATAAGGAAAATAAAAGTATATATCTTCATGGAGCAGAAACTATCATCTCTGAGAAGCCCGTTTAATGGATTGTGCTATCTCTTCTATGGCAGTTCTGAAGAAAACCCAAGGATCAAGGCATAGTGATGGTGAATGGGTAACTGTAACTTTCTAAATGAATTAGAATAGAAATATGAATATTGGCAGATGTCCTTAGTGGCATTTTATCTGTTGCTTTTTTAAAAAGTGCGCTTTTATGGAGCTTTGCATTACAAATGATATGCGTTGCATTTCTCAAAAGGTTTTGCTCTTTTAAAAGCTGATTTTTATCTATTAAGAACCCATTGTTTATTTCTTTCCTGTCTGCATTATGACTGAATAGTGGCACATGTAATTACCACATGGTTAGAAACGGAACATTCAACTCTGGCAAACTTTTGCTGCTGGGAATTGCACCTCTCTGTATACTGCAGGCTATTTAACACCAAGTCACAGACTCCCTGGAGTTGAATATACGTATGGTTACATGGAATATGATGTTGAACTTGATGACGTTGCACATGACATTTTATCCAGAACAAGGAAGGTGGTAGATTGTGTGCCATGGTGATTTTATTTCTAGTCAGAAAGTACTTAACGTGTAGTTCTTTTTTCTGGGACAAACATGAAATGTCACAGTGCTGGAGAATCAACAGTTGTGGGACAGTTATTTGGGACTATTTAGCATGTGTGCCCTTCCCCAAGTCTTGCCTTCATATAACATGGCAGTGGTGCTTTAGGTGAATTTTAACCTTGATTCTATTTTGCTAGTGGGTGATAGTTTCATTGCTGTGTTTCACTTCTTAGTTGAACCTGTTGTAGTTCCTACTAATGGGTCAGATTTGCTTTTTTTGGTGCTGCAGGGAATACACAGGGGGTTGGTTTTCAGATACAACATCTTTCTGCGTAAATATGTAATTCCTCCTGGATCCATTTGCTGCCAGTAAAATCTGCTTCATGTTCACCTCAGAGTATCTCGTCTCTTCTACCTTTCCTGAATAAAAGGGGAAACAGCACTAGAATTAACACTTCCGGATGCAATGTGGTTCCAAAAGAAATCAGTCAGTATGAGGAGGTGGGAAACCCTGAGAAATTCCTTACATTCTGTCTGAGGAAGTCTTAATCTAGAGAAAGTTTTTAAAGAAACATCACATTACGCACACCGAAAAGCTAATAAAAGTGTAAATTGACCTAATACAATATGAAATGAGAAGAAAGGATTTTATAACATCGTATCTCGTCTCTTCTACCTTTCCTGAATAAAAGGGGAAACAGCACTAGAATTAACACTTCCAGATGCAATGTGGTTCCAAAAGAAATCAGTCAGTATGAGGAGGTGGGAAACCCTGAGAAATTCCTTACATTCTGTCTGAGAAAGTCTTAATGTAGAGAAAGTTTTTAAAGAAACATCACATTACGCACACCGAAAAGCTAATAAAAGTGTAAATTGACCTAATACAATATGAAACGAGAAGAAAGGATTTTATAACATCAAAAAGCAAACATGTCGGGAGCAACACCGAGGTTTGCAATCCCGTTGCCGGTCCCTGGTCCGGTACGGGGGCAACACTGAGGGTTGCGATCCGTTGCCGGACACGGAAAAAACAGACAAAAAGACAAAAAAAAAAAAAGCAAACATGGGAAACCTGCCCAAAATATGCATGGAATAGGTAGGCAAAGAGAAGTTCTAAGAGTCTGGGAGCATATGAAATGAGAAGAAAGGATTTTATAACATCAAAAAGCAAACATGTGAAACCTGCCCAAAATATGCATGGAATAGGTAGGCAAAGAGAAGTTCTAAGAGTCTGGGAGCATATGAAATGAGAAGAAAGGATTTTATAACATCAAAAAGCAAACATGTCGGGAGCAACACCGAGGTTTGCAATCCCGTTGCCGGTCCCTGGTCCGGTACGGGGGCAACACTGAGGGTTGCGATCCGTTGCCGGACACGGAAAAAACAGACAAAAAGACAAAAAAAAAAAAAGCAAACATGGGAAACCTGCCCAAAATATGCATGGAATAGGTAGGCAAAGAGAAGTTCTAAGAGTCTGGGAGCATATGAAATGAGAAGAAAGGATTTTATAACATCAAAAAGCAAACATGTGAAACCTGCCCAAAATATGCATGGAATAGGTAGGCAAAGAGAAGTTCTAAGAGTCTGGGAGCTGTCTTGGGAAGTATAGTTTCTACTTGGAGCTCTTGAAGCTACGTCTGCCATCATAAGTGTTAGGGTGCTAAGCTGCATTGTGTCTCCTCCTGAATAATGAAGACTTTTATTGCTCCTTCACAAGATTGTTGATACCATTGTGTCATCCCCTGAGGTATGAACCTTGTTATTTTCAGGATGGAAATTTCTCCAAGGCCCGTGGAAAATCTTGTCTTGCCTAAGGCAAATGTAGACAGTTGTGTTAAGTCCTTATCCCCTTTATTTCTTTATGAATTTCCCCAATCACCATGAACTCCAGAAAACAAATGTCTCCAGAAAATTAGTCAATATATAATCCTACTTTAATATGTTGTAATAAATTTTATAGGCTTCAGAGGAAAACTACTTATCTTTCTTTATGACTCCTTTAAACAAGTTTGCTCAGATATCCTTAGGCTTTTAAAACCATATCTTTAAGGATTTAAATAATGAGATACTGGGGGAACCTTCTATTTTTCAACAGCCATTGCGTGTTTTGAGTTGCATCACAATCCATGAGGCCTAAGGAGACATTAAATTTATAACTAAAAATGGATAATAGTGATACATTAAAAATTAACTGTTTTGAATGGTTTGATTTATGGCCCTTATAAAAGAAACATTGCAAGATGTTATTTTACTGAGCATCACTAATATGCTCATAAGAGCATCAGAAGGCCCTGACTTGAATCTGGACTTTTGGTGCTGAAATGAACCATAATTTAGGAAAAGTCAGTCTAAAAATTACAACAAATTGGAATTAGCACAATGCCCCGACATCTCCTCCCTTTTTTGTGACTTCTAGATACTAAGCCCAGGCATGATTTATTTGTCTCACTATGATCATTGGATGGTGGTATTTTCCAAGAGCAAAGTGGACTAGGGAAAGTTTGCTTTTCTAAAGAGTTTAACAGCCCGGAGAGCTAGCCTTTTCCCACCCTTAAACATCGCACCCAATGTCTCACTATGATCATTGGATGGTGGTATTTTCCAAGAGCAAAGTGGACTAGGGAAAGTTTTATTTTCTAAAGAGTTTAACAGCCCGGAGAGCTAGCCTTTTCCCACCCTTAAACATCGCACCCAAGCACAGCTTTATCAGCATGTGCCCTGTGCAGTCCTCAGGGCCCTGCACTTAGAAGGGCTCCACTCTTGGTTTAAAGCTCTGCTGTCATTGATTGCTATGACAATGAAATTTCATAGCATTTCGTTTTTAATTTCATTTTCATTGATTGCATTGATATGGATTAGTCCATGTTTGTAGCAGAGGGTTTGTTTTTAGCTAAAAGAAAAATCTAATCAGTAATGTGAAAAGCCAACAAATATTTAATCAACAGTTTTGAGTTGATGAATTGGAAGGGAGAAAAAGGTAATAATGCCTCAGTCCACCTCCTTTCCTCTCAAATGTAGTAGACTTCAATGCTGAGGTAGAAGCTTTTAAGCAGAATGGAATGCAGTAAATAATTTTCAGGCAAGGGGCCCCACATCTTTTTTCATCGAGCCCCAAAGATTATGTAGTCTTTGCTGGTTAGACCCATTATATGTTCCTGTGCTCCGCCTCTAATTTCTCTCTACATCCCCTCCCTCTGGCTTATCCACATCCCTGTTTCTTGTGCCTATGTACCTGTGGCCTGCCTTATTGTTCTGGTTTCCTTCTAGAGTCTCCATGGGATTTCATTTCCAGCCAGTTTTTGCCCCCCTGAGCATCCCTGCAAGGTGTATCAACCAGTCTTCTCTCTCCCCTCCCCACCACCCTGCCCACATTTTTGATTGTAAAAATGTGCTCCTGGAGCCTTAAATATATTTTTTTATCTCACTTTGCAAAATACAGAAAAAGCAGCTTCTCAATTCTCTATAACTTTCCTTTGGGGAAATCCACTTGATGTGGCAATCGTTTGTGTCAGCAAATAAGTCTTCATTTTCATCAAATGGAGGTGCTTTCCTTGGACCCCCAAGAGGCACTTTGTTTTATGAACATTCAATGAGGTGGGGCATTGGGGACCAAATCTAGGAATCTTGTCAGATTTAGTGCCACATCTGCCTTGACATTTGAATCTTTGAGCTCTTACTGTGAACTCTTATAATTGAGCAAACATAGATCACAAGTTTCTATTTCTTAAACTACTAGAAAGGAATAAGTCTTTTTTGATTGAAAACATATGCAAATTTTTAGGACCCAATTCATAAAAATACAGATGTGGTATTAATAAGTTTTGGCATGGGGTTGTGGTACTAGTAGGTACATCCTGTTCAGAATGAAGAATTGTAGCTGTATGCCACCAGCACATGGACCGTGTTATGGTGAGTACAGGTATGAATCCCAGAACATTTAGACATGAGGATGGGGTGTTTTACACACA